CAAAAAAAACGTAAGCATTTTGTGTTGCCAGACAGGCTTGCAAGAGAACATTTCAGAACACATACATACATATATTTGTAAAATGCCATTAGAAAGTGTTATAAATTACCAGAGATGAATTTGATCTTTGGGTCTTTGAGGCCTTAACAAGTTGGGACTTTGCCTGGCCAGTAGCAGCGTGGGCACCCTCAATATTGGAGCCTATATCATCTGCAAAGTAGATATGATCACATAAGAAAAAATAAGCCAGATAAATAATAGTGCCTTCAAGAGAGTAAAGACAAGGATAAGTTACCAATCATGGTTCCTTGCTCATGAACCAATATAGCAAGATCTTTAAAAATCTCATTCACTTCACCAATTTGCTGCTGGATTTCTTGTATTCCTTGTTCTCTTTCCTCAATGATAGCCTCATTGAAGGAAATCTCATTGTCCAATAGCACGACCTCCTGTCTGCAGCACAACCCATTTAGAGCTAAGGATATATGGCAAATCCAACATTGATAAGAATTCTTAACTTAAGTAGATAAATGAAAGAACAATCAAAATTTGGGAAACAGCTAGCTTAAGATAGAGAGAGCTTCAACTCTCACGATTGGAAATGGAGCCAAAGATGGTTGATGCTTCCAAAAAAATTTGTGCATAAGAGAATCGTTTTCAAGGTGAGAAATAAGCCATTAGCATTTCGATGTAGGACAACACAAGGTGTGTGTTGCTTTATGATTATAGTGAGCTTCAGATGGCATACATCTTAGTAATTTAAATAGGTTTAGAGAAACAGGAGAAAAAAGATTGAAGATTGCTGCAATTTAGAGAAAAACAAAGAAGTGGTGGAGGATGAAATATCAAGGCCCTAGCCTTGCAACAATACTTACTTTTCATTCGATCCAAAATCTGATTTGTTTTACAAGAGATCAAGTTATTTACAGGCTTAAAATTAAACACCCAAAACTATACTAAAAGACTCATTAAATAGTAGAAAATTACTAGAAGACTAAATAAGTAATGGAGACTCAAAAACTATAAAAGACATCTTCTAGACCCCACCCATAACAGTCTTCCACATCCCTTGACCATGATTTCATATAAATTCTATTTCTAAGCCTGTCTTCTCCACAACCATACTTCCACTGGACCACTTTCCCTCCAAAGGCCCTCTTACTCCACCATAAACCCAAAACTGGACTTGGAGAATAGTTCATTTACATTTCACACTCATCAACAATGGAGAATTAAATTCATTAAAGACCTTTTAATCAGTAATACATGTAAAAACACTGTTCTGATTTTTTTATGAGATATACACAAATCTACTCTTGTCCAGACATCCGGATTTTTGTCAAGAGATGGCCGTGGTTTTGCATCTAACTTTCTTACTTCTAACTGCTTATTTTATATAACATACAGCTTCTGCGCACTGATCTTCATTAAAGCACAGGAGTACAAAAAGTTATACATTAGAAAAATGTTCAAGATTTGAATTCCTTACGCACCTGTCAACAGATTGGTTGAAACAAAAAGCAAAAAGTTATAAAAAGTGCATCAGATTTATACTTCCTATGCCCTGATACAATGTCCTCATGACGGTGGAGTAAGTTAATTTACTAGCAGATCAGATGGAGGAAAAACGACTGAAACAATGCATCTGAGAATTAAAGAAAATCATTTCTACCAGATAGAAATTTTTGGAGAAATATATATGTACATACATATATAAACCACAAGAGATATACTATTGCTCTTGCAAAACCAACTGCTACAATTCAAGTTACCACTTCCAAATGATCTTTGCTACTAACGCACACACACACATTTCACATTGCTGTATCAGTTAGAAGTCCTCCGCAAAATCAAGTAAAACTCACCTTCTAGATTCCACAAGAAGAGCACGCTGTTCGGGACTCTTATCTGAGCTTATATCTATCTCACTAGCAGTGTAGCTGCATGAAACAGTATTCAATCATACAACTAAAAATTGAGGGTCTGACAACACTAGAGGTAATGCAACAAACATTGCGAAAAGATCTTCTGGAAGATATCACATAAAATAGACTAACTTGAAGTACTGTCGGTGAACTACTATGGTCAGGTTCACCTACCAGACTCACAAAATAGTGCACATAAATAATAGATTGGATTTACCCTCTGACAAAAAGTTACCTGGACGGAAGAACTGCTTGGGGAACAAAAGG